AAGTTTCCTCTACATTGTTTTCACAGATTGGAATAAAAAGGAGATGCTAACAAAGCATGCTATCTGGTTTGTGGTTACATGTGCCAGACTAAACAAACAGGCTCAAACATATGTGCAGAAGCCTGTTGTACAAAATACATGAAAAACAGTAATTATGAGATTCTAATGTTGTATACACTGATAACTTCAAAGGGGAATTTCAGACACACTGGACTCCACATCATACTGTAAAGGATAAAAAATAGGACACAGTGCTGATAACATTAAAACAACTCTCTGTAGATGTCTGATAAACATTAAATTATTTCACAGATATGAGTGAAGTTGAAAAGCAAACATACCACTGATGCAGTCACCCTCACTCTTGCTTCTTCTAGGCACAATGACGGTTATTAGTTTGTCTTCAACTTGCCTTACTCAAAGGGGGCTTGTGAAAATAGGTTGCCTGCATAATGGTGACACATTCCTGACCTTTTAACAGTTAATAATATAATCATCTTTTACCAGCAACGGCCACACTTACAGCGCTCAGTTGTTTTGATCATTAATCATTTTATGGGAAGAGAAAAAAGAGCAGCGGGCAGTGGGAGTACTGAACAGACTGTGTGATGTGAATGCTCTTTAAGCGCAACAGTAGGGGAATAACACTCAGCTGAGGGGCTGTGAACATATTAAAGGCCACGAAACCGCCACTGTACAAAAACATTAAACTCCAATTGGAAAGTTTTGCTCTAAAATCAAACATCCACAGTTTGAACAACGCCTACTCTTCCAAAATGACTGCTCCACGCAAGCAAAGCACCATCTCCTTTCTATGTTGCTATCAAAGTTATCAGTTGAATTTAATACCCTTTTTTTTCTTTCTTTTTTTTGTAGAAATCTTTAAGGTCTCAATACTTGTGAATTCAGCAACATCTCCTCAAACTGGAGTTCTGAAATAAGGTTTTCAACTGTGGGGGTTTTCATGCCTGACAGCAGCTGAAAAACATTAAAAAAACTTATTTTTTCTTGTTGCATTATAGCACGTAACTTTAAAATAACACTATCCTGAAGTCCTGAGGAGCAGGTACACTGAGCCAGAGCTTTCAGATGAAGACATTCTCCCTAGCTACCTGGACGTAATTCATTAAGGTGCCAGTTTCTAATTGTCTGTCCACTCAAAGCGAATTTCAGTACAGTATTTCAGCTCTCACCTGGTGCGTGGTGTACTTTGAACTCTGAGAAAGGTGGATGGATTTGAGTCATAGGGGGTGACATAAAATGAACCTTTGAAATACTGGCCTTTTGATTTGGCTCACTACGCTATACAAACAATGTCATCTATAACAATATGAAAGAAACCCACAGGAATTCCATATTCTGGCACTTCATTTTCATGTAAACATAAGATAATTGTGTTAAATAAGGCAAAGGGCATGCAGCCATGCCTATAAACTGATCTCTTGTTTAAGAGAATATGATTACTTTGAGAGTCCTACACAGTGGGGTCCAAAAGTCTGAGACCACTTTCCACTTCACTTGAATGGGAAGGTGGTCTCAGAAAACAAACAGAAAACCTTTCTTATGATGAAATACCACTGACATTGTGGTGATTTTGGAAATCTACGATACTTTGAATGTGCTCTTATTTCTCTCTTTAATACTATCAAGCATTTACTATGTGGAATATTTTACAAATTTTGGATCTCTCATCTTGGGGCAAACAATTTCATATTTTCCGTCCGATGTTCCTTCGCTGTCTAGAACAGGTTATCAGAACTTTCAGAATCAGTGGCAAGCATCCTCAAAATAATAGGCGGCCGTCTGACGGCTCGGAAAAACACGTCACTACAATATCCTGTTTATTTTAACAAGGTATGGTGTTTTGGCCAAAACCAGACATCCGCTGTATATAACAATTAATCAGCAGGAGCATCTTTCCTATAAGTTGATCAGAACATGTAGGTAAGACGACGCTGTGCTGTATCTTCATCAGACGATGACTTGGTTCAGTAACTCAAAACATGAAGTGAGAGTGACTTTTACTGAGTTACTCATCTCAGATTCACGCTTGTCATTTTCTATTTACAGTAGATTAATTCTGGTTAGTCGACATCGACTTAGTCATATAACTTTCACTGTCTGCTCAACATCTGTCCATTATTGGCATGTTGTGCTTTGCAGGATGCACTGCAGCACACAGTACTGGAAATAACTTTACTGAGATTTTCAAAAGCCTTTGTTTCTTCAGATCAGCCACCCTGGGTTTGAACAGAGACAAAGTAAGAAACTGTTGATCTAAAGGGAACATTTCTTACATGCACCTCAGACCCAAAGAAACATTAAACCCTTGCAGATTTACACTGCATGTATATATGTAATTTAAATGCAATACTGACAGAGCGACTGTAAGGTTAATGGAAAAAAAAGAACAGACAGATCAACTATGATGAAATATATTTATTTGTCTTGCATTGTAGAAAGTTTTGTGCAAAGATACAACATGTTAAAATATTTATTTACACACCAAGTCTCAAAAAAGCCACTGTAGAAACTATTCTGATAAAATCAGATGTGAGTCTTAAAAAGGTCCCAGGAACAAGACTGTAATGCTCAGGTTCAGTAAAGATTGGTTTTCTTCATTATCCTCAGGAACTCCTGCTCATTGACCTCACCATCTCCGTCTCGGTCTGCTTCGTCAATCATTTCCTAAAAAGATTAGAAACACTGTGTGATGCAGTATGCTCAAATTGAAACAGCTATACGTGAATCCAGCACTGAAACGCTACATGTGACAGACCAGAAAAACTCTCACTTGAACTGACAACATGTGTCATACAGGTTATCTCAGAGCACAAGTTTCTCAGAAATAACCAACAATGTAATTCCAATTTCAACATCAAATGTATGATCATAACGGTGTTATGGGGAACTAAGAAATAAGTAAAGACAAATCAGTCTTATTTGTAGTACTAACTTTGCTATTGAACTAACCATTTACTAGTAACAGTGGTAAGAAATCAAACTTATCATCCGTGCCTACTATTTTCTGATTCTCGTGAATGAATTTTGAATGAAGTAAAATTATTTCTAACCTCCTGAGGTATTCTGCTACAGTTAAACAATTTCTAAATGGTTGCACAGTTTCACAGAGAGGCAGCAGCCACTTTGCCAGGTGATCAGCTTCTCCCATTAAAATAAATTTTGGAAACCATCCAATACAGCCAGTGGACAGTTTGTGTGACGATATTCTCACACGCCAGAATCATGGGATTTACAAGGTAATGATTACACTTGAATGCACCTATCGCTCTAAAGTATGAAATAATAAACAAAAATCTCTTTGCGCAGAGGCAAAAGAATGTAGGTGGAACACCGAAAATAAATCATACACAGTAGAGGTGACACACTACATGTCTTTACCTGTAACTCTTCATCTGTGAGGTTTTCACCCAGCTCCTTGGCAACTCTCTTGAGATTTTTGAATGAAATTTTTCCTGTGCAGTCATCATCGAACAGCCGAAAAGCCTTCATTATTTCCTCTTTGGAGTCCTTTTCGCTCTGATGATATTGAAACAAGACATGACTAAGGCACTGATTTGAACACACAAACTGACAAACTGCATTATTATGCAAAAAACTGCATTATCAACTGATAGCAAGAACCATTACCAAATATCATTATGAATTTAATTTATGGAACAGTTTTGAGGAACTATTAGTCTGGTAGGAATATGGTAAAATTTTGTCCGATGTTACTTTCTGGTCTGTGGAAAATCTTTCATGTTTGCTACTAATTGGTGGTGTTATTCTTTCCACACCAAAGTAAATACATTTATTTCACATATTATGCAACTGATACTCAAATGCATTTCCTTTGACTTTTCAACAAGTGAATATCATGTGTATGAAGAGTGTTAGTCCATGGTCAAACACTATGTCAAACATCCGATTTCACTGCAACTGATTGAGGAAATTAGTTAGGTAGAGACCGTTCTTTCAAGACCAACATGCAGCCAAACGTGAATGCTTTAAAAACACAAATGTACAACTAACATCGTCTTTCTGGGTGCTGGAAATCATAATTATCAACTTCTGAGAAATTTCCAAGTTCTCTTGTTCTATACAGCATCATTTTACACTCACCATTTTCAGAGTCATCATACTGAGAAAGTCACTGAAGTCAATTGTTCCTGAGCCCTCTTTATCAATGTCTGCAATCATCTTCTTGATTTCTTCTTTCTTGGGCTCAAACCCAAGAGCTCTCATGGCAACCTGTGGCACAAATGCATATCAAATCTGAAGCTGCTGTGACACCGTTTTCACGTTATTTGTTCACCTGCACATACACTTCACAACAATTGATGCATGGTAGATGAACACAGCAACTAACCTTTAGCTCCTTCACGTCTATTGTTCCAGTGCCATCTGTGTCAAACAGATCAAAAGCCTCTTTAATTTCTTGCTTTTGCTCCTCAGTCAGTTCGACTTTGGGACCTGTCTTTTTCCTCTGGATAGCCGAGGGAGCTGGTTTTCGGTAACTTGAAGCCTGAAAAAGCAAATGGGTTCAACAGAGACTCACAGTATAAGTTTTTATTCAACTGTTTATTCAACTATCATGCTAGCTAACGTTAGCTTCCATGCTGCTTCACCAGACCAAACAAAAACACGTTTTAAGGCTAAAACAAACGGCTTATCACGGCAAATTCCACAAGCTAATTCAAAGTACATTTCATACTAACATACATATATTAATAAAGGTATACCATTTAAATGGATGATTGAAGAAAGCTTCAATGTTGTATTTAGTGGTCGGATGTCAACAAAACAAGCAGCAACGGCTATATTTTTTTTTTCTATCAAATGACACGAGAAGTATCCAATGAAAACCACCAAAGCACTGTGACGCATGCATATTAGCCAATCGTAAATCGGAATGGGCGAGCGTCAACAGTGTCTGCCAATGGTTGAGTAAGTTTCCTTGTCTCCCAGCAACCGGGAAACTCAACGCATGCGCAGTGCACAATCGTTGGAGCCGGGGCAGCTGGGCACTGGGAACAAATACAACTATTATACATTAATAAAAGAAGGTAACATCATATTTCTTTATGGATGTATAAAGTATTTAAATGCAGGGACATCTTTTGAGAACACTTGCGTTTTACTTCACTTTAGCCTTGTTATAGACAGGCTGAATTTAGAAGTAAAGTGAATGTATCTTCTGAAGACATTAGCTTGTTAGCTTGCTAAAGTCTGTTGAGCTGTATCTATGTGGCTTTGTACGGATTGTCCACTCGCCCACTAATTCTTGGATCATACAGTAGACGAATGGATGTTCCGGAGCAGAGCCTTTCTTTTGCTTTGTTTGATATGATTATGTTTTTGTGCTGTATAGTGTTAATTTTATTATCATTGTACAGTTGTTTGCAAGAATGTTTGTTGATTCAGAAATTGTGTGAAATAAAGTAAATACAAGCCCTGCAGCAAACATACATTAGAAATGAGCCTTTCTTCACTCTTTAATCTTTTTCTGTTTTTTAAAGTTCATGAAATAAAAAGTAACAGTTAACATTTGAAGAAAGGCTCATTTTGATGTCTGTTTGCAGCAGGGATTGTATTTCCTTCTTTTCACTTCAAAAATCAACAATATATTGCAGAGGTGAGCCCAAACCTTTACATAAAATTAGCTGCAGTTGCACCAGTGTTGATGACCAAACTTGTTAGCAGTGGTGGAAGAAGTACTCAGATCCTTTAGTTAAGTAAAATTGCATGTACACTTTATTTAAGTGAAAGTCATATAAATTTTACTTAAGTGAACGTACATAATTATTACCACTTAAGTGTACTTAAGGTACCAACAGTAAAAGTACTCATGATGCAGAGTGGATTCTGTCAGTGTTTGATAAATTGTTGCATTATTAATGCCTTAATGTGTAAGCAGCTGTAAAATGTTGCAACATCAGCATGGAGCAGCTTTTAACTTTAACATTAGCTTTAATTATTGTTGTAATTTAGCAGTTTTACTAACTAAAAAGTTTGTGGGGTTGTGGTGAACAAATTAAAACTTTTTTCATCCTCTTACAATTCAGGCACCTCCAGTAATGCTGGGAAGTACAGTTGTAAACCATGGACAACATTTTGGACTGCAGAAGCTCTCAGCGTTGGCAGGAATTGCACATTCTTATTTGGGCCCCAGTAAAAAGTATAAGTTTATCCAGGATGACACGAGTGGGGAGTCAGCTCTTGTGTGCTCGTGTTTTCGCATCCTTGAGAGCCTGGAGCTGACCTGCGCCGTGGGTCAGCTGGTTTATGAGACTATTCAAGCTCACCACAATGTCTATAATACAGGGTCAGGATGCCTGCTGTTTCTCGCAGGAGCGTGGAGCCGTGCTGCTCTGGAGTGCCTTCACAGAGGACTTTCAGTATCACACATCATCTCAGCAATGTCTGAAGGCATCGATATATGCATAGATGTTTGCAGGAAATGCAGCATCTCAACTGAATGTCTTGGTGTGGCACAGTCAGAGAGCTGCACTGAGACATCCCATGGCTTAGGACTTCAACTATCAAAGAAACCCATCATGGAGGCTTCACAGGCATCGAGCCACCTGCAAGGGACAACAAATATCAGACACAAGACTCTAAACAACAGTGGACAAAGGAAAATAAAGCTCAGCAGACATTTTTGTGAGGTCAAGTCTAAAAATATCTCCACAGTACCACAACCTCAACAACCTAAGCTCCCTAACATTGCACACATTGCTGAGGGATTGAGTCACGGTTGTGTCGGTGCCATGAATTTAGTCGTGGAAGCCAGCCAGATGCAATCAAAAAATACTCAACAAAATATCAGCTATTCCACATTTGACATAACTAAAGTGGTGACTTGTGTTCTACCTGGTCTCCCAGAGGAGAATGCGTGCGTTGTACCAGGCTGCATTGTTCTCTTATCTGCTGAACAGGCTTCAGTTGCACATCACTTAAAAGAACGGCACTTGAAGGTTGCTCTTATTCATGGAGATTTGTCCGATACCTTCCGCCATCTTGGCTTTAGTCGTCCAGCAGGGATGCAGCATGTGAGTGGCCAGTCAGCTTTGTCAAGTTCAAGCAAAGAGGAAGAGTGGATGGTAAAGGTTTTGGCACTGTTGCTGAATCTGGAAGTGAACCTGATACTAGTCAGTGGCCTTGCTAGTGAGAAAGTGATTCAACGCTGTTGCCGACACGATATACTTGTGGTGGAAAAAGTGAAGGCTTCCGTTTTGAAGGCATTCGCTAACGCAACAGGAGGTGTTCCAGTGACTTACGCTGCACAGTTGAAACAGCAATGTGTTTGCACTGGGGTGAAGATTGTGATATGGAGGGATCTCAGCAGCCCTGAGAGGAAGTTTACAACAGCTGTGAATATTTCCACCAGTGCTAACAGCAGGTTGGTCACAGCGATCCTCACCAGCTGTGTACATGGCAAGCTGCAGGCCCTGGAGGATCAGTTTTGGGCCTGTGCTTATCGTTTACACCACACGCTGAAAGACAAAGCCCTCCTGCCCGGTGCTGGAGTGACAGAAATGCTTTGTATTCATCACCTTCAAAAACAAGCAGGGCACCATGAGAAGCACTGCACAGAGGGGGCAGGTGCCTCTAAGCCACAGTCTAAAGCAACACCAGCAAACCCTTACAGTGGTCTAGTGTTGCACCTCATGGCAGATGCTTTAATCGATTACATATCCACTGTGATGGTTAACAGTGGAAAGTTCACAAAAGTCAAAGCCAGGACTGTGGTGAGCCAACAACTGCAGGACTGTAACGGACATCTGGGCATCGCTGCAAAGTTCTCACAACTTTTCTTGGAGGGTGAAACAGAGGACAGTGCATTTTTCTCAGCTGTTAAATCTGATGGAGCACCAGCAACGAAAGTCTATGATAATCTGAGTGTGAAGCAGGAAGCATGGAGGAAAGCCTTAGACCTGGTTTTCCTGGTCTTACAGACTGATGCAGAGGTCATCACAGGCGTAGACCAAAGAACTGATGGTGCTAAAGAAAATCTGATGCTTTTATGATCTTCATGCAGCATCTTGAGAAATTATTTGACAGTACACAACTTTCTTAATGTTTTATTTGTTACCAAAAGTTTAAGTAGCCTGAAATACGTTTTTTAAATAACTGGCACAAAGTGAAAGTAAGAAAAAGTGTTTTAATTTTATGACTTTTTTGTCTTCAATGAATAGCTGAACGACAATATTCAGAAACATAATTTTAGTGAGGCAGTTTTTTTCCTACCACATGGGGGTGCCAAAGTATTACATGACATTGTTGTCTTATCTGACGCTCTCATACAAGTTGGTGTGTGTAAATGAATTGGCCTAAATTCTGATATTGCCAATAAAAGGTGTGTATTGATTAGACTCACATATTATTTCAAACATGCCAAACTGAATGAAACTAGGATGCAACCTAAAGAACCAAGAAGGCGAGCAAAATGTTTTTTTATTTATTTTTTTATTTTCAAATTTTGAAGTGAGATTTGAAACTTTTTCTATTCCAACCTACTAGATATTGAAAACCCATAACAAATTAGCACAGTATCATAAAAAAACATACATGAAGGTCAGTAATAATCATATTTCCCTACTTTCATTTAATTTCATTTGTCGTCTTTGTTATCTTACTTTTTGTCTTGGAGGTGCTGCGAACTATTCTCAATGGAAAAACCCTAAAATTCAATTTATTTCTATTAGTAACCAAGCCTGACTCACCTGACACTAGTTGCACATGGTCTTGTAAACACCTTGTCTTCGTGCTCACTTCAGCCAGGGAAAACAAACACGACATGTCCAAAACCACAATTAAATTTCCCTCTCATGGAGCATGGGAGGAATTTTGTGCTGTTATTAGTCTTAGTCTTGGTCAACTTCCTTAACGATATTTGCCTACGCTCATTATGTGTCTGCTCAAACTGAATACTGACTCTGCTTCCATGCCAACCGTGGTGGTTTTATGACCTGCTCTGTCATAATGGGAATAATTGATGGGGAAGGAACGCCTCCAGACAGAGTAAATGTTTTTGGTTAAGTCTTATTACGTTCGGAAGTTATTTTAGTTGTTTGAACTCTGGAAACCTTTGTTAAGTTAATATTTCCCCTCCTACATGATCATTCAAAGGTCACAGGAATATTAAAAAAAGCACTAATGGAAAAGAGGGTACATATATTTGTCATGTTCCTTCTGTCTCAATTGTTTGACCCTAAAAAAATGCCTGCGTGCCTCAGTACTAGATACATAAAGTAGGTTCATTATGGAAATAAGGCTTGGCAGTTATTTGGCAGGTGTAAAAATATTATATCAGTTGACGAACGTTACTCCAATGAGAAATGTCTACTACTTGGAAAAATCAAAAACAACCTGAAAACAATTAAGGTTCCCATGCAAGTAAAGTGCACTCAAAGTTATCTTCTGACTTTTTCCTACTGTGTTTATTGTATTTCAGAGGTGTCAGTTGCAACGACATGTGAGATCTTCCATTTCCTCTCAGATCAGAGAGAGAGAGCGCTTCTCGTCGAGTTCTAAAAATAGTTTAACGAAATAAAAACGTTACAAAAGCGTAACTGTGGAGCCATATCAACCTTGACTCGAGCGTCTCTCAAAGGTGTTGTGGCCATGGAAGGGTGGGGTATAACAAAACATGAGAAGGAAATGAGAGTGGCAAAGTTGCTGATACCTCTGAGGGTTCATGTTTTACCTTAGACTGATGTATGCACAAATGTATAGATTGCTCTAAAAGTGTGAAACCTAAACAACTGGTTTTGATCATCCAGTTTTATTTCTTTATTGCTGGCTGTCAGCACAGACTGTTGAATTCATTTCAGGCAGTGTCACCATATTCAAAAACAAGATCTCAAAAAGCGACTGAACCCTAAAGTTCTGCTTCAGGTTTAGATTCATTACGTTAAATTACATTTGATCCTAAAACCAGTTTACATATTGGGGTCAGTCACTTGCGAAACTAAGAAAGTTTGTACTGGACCAGAATGTGTGCAGAACTCTCAATCAGCGTCGAAACAGGTGCCAGACTTGAGCAGAATTTGTCACAGTAGTTTATTTATAGAAAGACACAACCAATGGCAAACCATAAATCTTGTTGTATGTGTGTAAGTATGCTACAACTGCTGGTCTGATTATGGCTCCCACGTAGAGCCATATACGGTTTACTGTTGCTGTTGGTCTGATCGCTCCATTTTCCTACTTTGAGTATGAAATACAGTAAATCTTGCTGATGGAGCTACATGTACATCAGCTGTACATCCGTGTCCTTTACAGCCCACAGACAAACCTTTTTTTTCAAACCTTTCTTTTGGCCGTGGAGAGGGTGTATTGATAATGTTTTATTGTTCCAATGCCCTGTCTTGTTGTACTGCACTGTTTGGGTGTAAATGACCCTCAGTAATGGTTTGTTTGGAACACTCCCCTCAGGACTTTGCCCTAAATTAACATGTGCAGCAAACCCTGTCTGTGTAAATGATGGATAAAACTGTCCTGTGTTTTTAGAGGGTTGTGGATTGAGGCAGTCCTGAGGAAATGCATCCCAAAGATGTCCAAAACCATCTGAATCCTCCCTCCAGCTGACTCCCTATTTTGACTACAAGTCTTACAACCGTTCAAGTCTCTGGCTTTAGTCAGTCATAATGCAGCGGTTGGATGTCAGATGTTTCGCTGACCAATTTCGGAGGGGACACCAACATGACGTCAACCGAGAGCACAGCTGACTTTCTACTGATCCAGCACGAGTTTCTGATGTGGTAACAGTTACCCAGAAGCCTCGACCAGCGAGTGCTTATTCTGACAAATGCATGATCCTGTTGGTCCAAGAAACCAAAAGGGAAACAAATCCTGCATGAATAACTCCCCTCACTGATCCTCCATTCAGCTGGCTCTGAGAGAGTTGAGAATAGCAATTAAAATCACTCATTCATGATGTAGGCTTTTTCATCTAAGCCTGCTGGCAAGTCTACTGCACATTGTTGTTTTTTTTACCTATGAATAGCACTGAGTGAATCACTGAGAAGCTGGCTGTGCTGGCTCTCTTTTTACGTCTCTCTTTTCTTGCTCTTCAACAGACTGGATGAATGAAAACGCTGGTTCTGTTCACATGGTTGCTGCTGCTCTGCTCCTGGCTCTCCAAAGGGTCTCAGTGACATCAAGTCCCCCCCCCCCCCCTCGTCTCCGTACCCTCCTCTCCTTTCTCGACTTCTGCTGGGTTGGTTGGTTAAATCAGTGAGCATTGGTGGGCGTGAGCATGTGAGTGTGTGTTGGTGCTCCTAGGGCGCATGCGAACTGAGGCCCAAAGGGGAAAGACTTCCACACAGATCTAAGCCAGCTGCCCTGTTTTAAACACTTCACTGCAAGAGGAGTGGAAGAGAGGGGGAACCCGCATGCATCCCCCCTACCAGTGTGCTCAGAGTACACTGGCAACGCAGCTGCCAGCTCTACAAACAGCAGACGAGCAGCTACAAATGGTAGATTTAGAGCTTTGCTGTTAGGTAAAAGGCCGGTCTTGGAGTCCTGCTTCAGATTCTCAGGACCCAAAGGGCACTTGCTGCCCTGAGAGGGGGTCGTTCAAGCAAACTGACCCTTGGGGTTAAGTAGAATCAGTTTGTGTGAAGCTCTGTGGAGGAGGGGAGGAGGGAACAGGCAGCAGTTAGTGGGAGGTGGGAGGCCACGGTGGGGCTCCTGCACTGCTCAAGAAGGAGACGAAGCAGTCGCCGGGAAGCGGGGGAAAGAGGAGGAGAATGGCCACGGGAGAAATCACAACACTTCCCTCCACACCTGAAGACGGCGGCAGCGGCGGCTTTCCTCCTGGAAACTTCAAGGATCCCAAAAGGCTGTACTGTAAAAACGGGGGCTTCTTCTTGAGGATAAAGTCTGACGGGGGAGTGGATGGAATCCGGGAGAAGAACGACCCCCACAGTAAGTACTTCCAGTCCCCTTCTTCTTGCTTTGCATAGCACACAAAGCTTCTTTTTGTTTTTAATATGCAACAGGGAAGTAAGGGTGAAGCCAAAAAAAAAAAAACTCATGGAGGAAAGATGTGAATTTTCCAGCTTACTGAGGTTTACTCTCCATTTCACCTCTGGAAAGTATAATAACCCTCAAATGTTCTCAATCAATGGGAACTTTGATGGAATATGCCAGTTATGTTTTTAGTAAACGTAGTTCACCGTGCTGAGTCACAGCCATTCACACTGCTCACTGTGTGGTTTACGTCACACGAGAAGGCACAACATGGAGTTAAAACCCAGGATGAGTGGATGCCTGATTTAGAGGTCCCTGACAGTGTCTGAGGTCAATGAACTTAAACCACTAATGATGAGAAATAATACTGTTATTATAAATTATCAAATTATCTGTACCATCAGTCCATCAAGATTTATTTAGCAGCAGTTAGCAACTAATAAAGGGGAAATATTTATTATGTTTGTTCGGCCGGACAACTGCGGTACCCCTCGGGGCCTCTGTATCACTGATTACTTTTTAGTATGTGCCCTAAGTTGCATCATTAAGTGGGAGGGGAGAAGGGGGAACACGAAAGTTGGGTTTCTTCCTTGGAAAACACATGTTTGGAAGTGTATTGCCCCGAGATCCAGTGTGACATTTCAAGCAGGTGCGCCTGATATGGAACCACTTCAAGGACGGAGGAGCTATTTTTAGAATAATTCACTTACCTTTTTAATGTGATTACATTCACTCACTGTTTGTGAGACACAAACCTGAAGTTGTAATTTAAGTTTATTTGTATAAAGTAAAAAATCCTCCTTTAAGTCGTGGCCTATCATGGGCACAGGAAGAAATACATCCGTAATGAGTCATAAAGCAGGAATCAGTATTAATCATTTAGCTGTTTTCTTACGGTTAATGTGACCCGGGCTGTGCTGCATCAATGGTCCTTTTGTTAAAGCTGTGACAGACCTGCCAATTTTTTAGACAACACAACATACCTGCCAGAAAGAGTTGGAAATGTCACCAAATATATCCAGGGATCCTCAAGTGGGATTTTACGGGGGCCTCTACTCCATCGCATTTGTGTTCTTTGTAACGTCTCGTGACAAAGTTTTCCAAGGACAAGATTGCCCATCAAGACACAAGCCACACACCGCTGGACTTACATCGGCGACCGAAGGACAGATACAGATAGAACTGAACTGAACAGAGACAAGACCAGTCAAGGGAAAGTTTGCCTTTACTCACAATAGCTGTGGGGTATAACATGCCTCATCTCAGCACACTGAGACTAATTATACGGTTTTTTTTTTTGGTTTTTTTTCTCAAGAACACCTCTTTGATCTGTGATATGAATCACCCAGGCAGCGAGCTTAACTGTAGACAGATGTGTGTCTATCCAAAGTCTTAATGTTGGATTAATTCTGGACAGATCCCCTGACTTACCTTACAGGGCCTCTGCTTCCTCTTTGGTGGTTTTGCTTCATGTAAACCATGTTGTGTTGGCAAACAGAGCTGTCTCTACTAAAGAGGGAAAAATTATGAATACGATGACAGATGAGAGGAGGCCGTCACACAGCCAACAGGTATTGTGTGCACTGTAATGCTACTGTTCGGTGGATGATGTCGGTTCAGCTTCATGTTGGCATCAGCGGTGTTTCATTTATTACTGCTACTTAAACCACAAAGAGAAAAAAGCAGCTAAACATTGATGCTGATGTTTGTCTGTTTAAAGAAAAAGAAGAATGAATTTTAAATTTGCTCAGTGCAGCGTATCAAAGCTCATCTTTTTCTTTTTTTTTTTCTTTTAGTGATTTTCAGATCCACAGTTTTTCAGAGCAGAATGTTATAAACCGATTTCACCTGGATTTTATTTCCACATGCAACTAAAGATCTGTGTGTTTTCTGTTAGTAGAAGACATTGACAGCTGTGGCTTACAGTTAATTAGATCCTCTTGCAGTAGGTTATTTAAAGACAAAATGCAAATGAGCTTATGGACCCCACTCCCTTTAATAAAGAATTTACTGGAATATTTTGAATATTTCTTTGAATATTTTTGCTCATTGCTCTTTTTTTTAATAAAAAATAATAAAATAAGTGTATCTAACACACCACCTCCCACAATCAAGTTTCAAATGCTTTGTGTGTTTTTGCTCATTTTAACTTTTATGTTTTTCCTCAGTAAAACTTCAACTCCAAGCAACCTCCGTGGGTGAGGTGGTGATCAAAGGAGTTTTTGCTAACCGCTATCTGGCGATGAACAGAGACGGACGACTGTTTGGAGCGGTGAGTGAACTGGATTATCATGATTCAATTTTAAAAAACCTACACAGTTTCTGTTTTGCAAAAGGGTGTTGACATTTCTCTAAATGCATTCCTGTAAAATCGTACAATATAATTTCCTGAAAGTGCACAAAGATTTTTTTATTTATTATTTTTTTTATTTTACCATAAGTGCTTTTTGCAAAGAAGTGTTGCACACCTAAAAGTCTTCCAGTTGGCAGAAGCCTCAGTGTTCTGTCATGTGCAACGTTCAAGCTGCTCTGTTTTGGAAACTAAATATTTACCAGCCACCTGACAAGAAATCCTCCCTCGCAAGGAAAGAATTAGGTTGACGCTCATTCGTCATAGTCAGTATTTAGAATAAAGAAAAGCATTTCCACAACATTAAATAGGCCTTATTTTGTGTCTACATCTTCTCTTCTCTACACTCCTCCTCTTTGTTTTGACCAGACTTTGAGTCCAACTGAAGCATCTCTCTCAAACCTTATCAGTTCAACCGTTTCGTCTTTCTTTCCATCCTCTTGTCTTCTGCATTGATGCTGCCTCAGCCAAACCGATGCAACAACATTGTGATACTCGTCATGGCAATGCTGACAGGTTTGGCTTTGAGTGTTGAAAATCCAAATCCCATTGTGTCACATGACTTAACCCTAAACCTTGATTTTGTACCACATGCACCTACGGTCCAGACTGACTGAAACAAATATGTGTAAGAACATGCAATTTATTTGACTCTGAGAAAAATAAACTGAGATGCAGGACCTGGCTCCGGTAACATGTTTAGTAACTCTGTAAAATTCAGGCCCATCAAATACTGGCGGTCAGGATGAGTCTAGATGCCCGTGGAAGAGAAATGTGAGTGGGTGAACGATGGGACTTGTAGCATTTGCAGGTTTTTATTGTGAATTTTTTTGAATCTCCCGGAACGACCTGACGGTCATGGTGGTGATGGTGAAAGCAGAGATAGGGGTAGTTCTTGGTCTGGGAGACAAGAACAGATTCTAACCCTTCAGATATTTAAGGAGTGGTAGACTGGTTCGTGAAACAGGGCAAGACATAGAGTATTTGTCCAGCCGTGATTAAATTTTGTAAATGAGAGGAAACGGAAATGATGGAGAGGCTTGACATTTCTGAGAGAAGATTTCAGCAGGAAGAGACAGAAACTAATCAGCAAGAGAAACAGATTTGGAGAAAAGATATTCCTTACCGAACTTTTGCAGCAACGTCATTATTACGCCCATGACGTCTGATGTTCTACAAAGTGCACCGGGGTTTGTGTTGGAAGGTCTTACTGGTAACTCCTAGTGTCTTTCTGTTTGGCAGCAGGACGTCTGTAGAGCGTTTTAAGAGCTTTGGAAGTTTTCAGGAAATGACAGATTGTCTGACAGACCAGCAGACAAAGTCACTTTATATTAGCTGCTGTTTATAGGTAAATTTTTCATTAAATCAGAACAACGGACACTCTGCACATGCTCTCACCACTTTGATGGACATGCTGTACATGAACTTGGGTCTTGAAGTAGTGTTTACAGTGCCTACTGTCCACAGCTGTGACAGCTGTCGGAGGCATCTGTGGCTTTAGAAGCACCTTGGGGCAAAAAAAAAAACAAAGTCGCCGGTTTGATTCACTTTGGTTCACTGCTCACGGATGGAATGAATGCAGAGGTCAAGTGTCTGTGTGTGTAAAAACATACTTGGCCAATAAAGGAAAATAAATAATAATGAAAAAGTTATCTGAAAGGATTTCCTGAATGTTCACGAGATAGCCAACACCAGCTGGTCCCAACTGCTGGCCTGTTGCCATGGTGTTGTTGCTTACAGTGGCAGTCTGAAATGTTGGTGACGGATGTGGTTTTGGTGGTTGAGAAGATTTGTCTGCAGTCCATGTAATTTGTAAGAAGCACTTCCTCCTAATGAGAAGCTACAGCAACAAGGTGCCTCCCAAGGCGTTGCTCTGCTCTACTCATGTGGAAAATCATTAAAAAAAATCCACAAGACAAAACCCACTCTCTTCTTATATGAAGAATAAAATTTGTTGATGCCAAAGAAATTAAAAATTAATTTCCCCTAATTTAGCATCTTGAATCGATGTGTCTCTAGTCTGGATTATCCTGAGTATTAGATCCTGACTGATGTGTTTTATTAATATAACTGTTGTAATCATCATCATCGAGTTGGTTTAGACTTTTGTTCTGCTGATGAGATCTGTACAAGTTTGAACTTATTTTCAATATTTATTCCGACCTAAACTTTTAACAAAAAACTGAATAATACTGAAAAACTTTCTCATGGCTGAATAATATATTTTATGAATGTAAAATGTACTTTACCAGCACCTTAGATTACATTCTTAAATTAAAGGTCCCATATAGTATAAAGGTAGATGTCCATGTCTTCTTTCATTATAAAGCAGGTCTAGATTCTATATTAATACTGAGAAAGTATCAAAGAGAGAAATGCACACAGCCTGTATTCAGACACTGAGCCTTAAAATGAGCCGTCAGGACTTCTGTAACTTTGTGATGTCACAACAAAGCAGTCACTGCTCTCAGCCATGCCCTCTGCCCCGCCCACCTGGACCCACCATCCAACCTTGTAGGATTTGGTTTCTCTGAGTGTTTTACCTGAAATCTGCTATATTTTTATTGGATCACTCAGGGAACGGAGATGTAAAACTACATTGAGATCATTTTTGGCTCTTAAAACCCAAAATGTATCTTCTTACGGATCAACACTTCAAATAAAGCAAAATAGAATAAATTAAATAAATTAAAAAAAATATTTTCAGTATTGAGGTAGTCCTGGGTGTTTATTGCAAGCTCAAAGAAAACGTCCTCTGACTAATGGCTTCATCGCCAGGTTCAACTAAAAGCAGAAACTAAAACAAAAGCCTCTTGTGGGAGAGGGTGTAGGGCCGTTAACGCCCAGCGAGACAGTGAGATTTTGGCCAGACATCGTGTAATTAATGTTTTCTTCATGTTTTCTACAAAAGGATAATGTTAAGAGAGGAGCTTACGTAAGAACTAAAAAAGATGTGGTGATTGACTCGAGAGCACGGGAGCTAAATCACTAATCAATTCAATTACACTTTAACTGATCTTCATGTTCTTATTTCCATCAAACCCAAGTTTATCTTTGACATGTTGTCTGGTTGTTTCAAGTCTTCAGATTTATCAGTTCATTCATCTCTGGGTTTAATGTTTGATCATGATTCAAGAGAGCTTTAATAGTGTCAGTCAGACATGGTTTCTTTAAGACCAAAAAAAAGTCTTTACTGTATTAGTCTGAAACTGACAAGAAATTCTTCTAAACCAACAGTCTCCTTCAAAATAAAGGCATTTAGTTCTGGGGTGCTTTATGTGGTAATTTAATGTCATAAAATGTCAGCATTACAACGACATATATTAAACAAATTCAATCAAATATCATCTGAACAAAGTAGTTTATTTGAAGAAATGCCACTTCAAGTAACCAGATTTCCCTTCAGGTTGAAAACACAAGCAGATAATTATTAGCTTTTTGAAGCAAAACAAAAAACAGAGGTTTATATTAAATGTACAGATTTGAGGTCTAAAGCTCAGTTTCCATTAGTTGGAGTACTGTAAATACGGAGCAGCGCTGCCAGAGCCCATATTACAGACTAGTTTCACAGTTTTCTTACATTTCTTCAGTTCGCAGGCTAATTTATAATATACTGGGATGGCAGCAGATTTGATCCTCTCAGCACCGAACATCAAATTAAACTTTATGTATGTGTTATTCCTCTGTCTTTCTCTGCAGAGACGAGCTACGGATGAATGCCATTTCCTGGAGCGGCTCGAGAGCAACAACTACAACACCTATCGCTCCAGGAAGTACCCGAACATGTATGTGGCTCTGAAGCGGACAGGCCAGTACAAGTCCGGAAACAAAACGGGACCGGGTCAGAAGGCCATTCTCTTTCTTCCAATGTCCGCCAAGTGCTAATCTGGGATCCGGTCAAGAAGTATTAAAAGTCTTAGTGGCAACGACGAAGAAGAAGACGAAGAATAATAATAAGAAGATGTGACGGCAATGAAGACAGAGTGTTGCCCAAAATAGCTGTGATCCTTTCCAACTGTTAACATCCTAACAGTTCAGTTTTTGTTTTTTCATCTTGAGCATGTCTACTCTTATTCAGCTTTACTTCCAAACCGTGGCACACATTCACACCTGGCTGCTTCCCAGTAAAAAACCAACCGGCCGCTACTCGAGTGCCACTGGAGCCAGGTCGCCTTGCTCAAGCGCACCTCAACAGAATGGCAGCACAGCATTATTTTATTACACAGATCTTCCCTCTCTGTCTGAGGGCAACCTTCTGATCACAGGCCTGCTTCCTACCCTTCACTTAATGACTGTGTAAGTCTGAGTATTTTGTCAAAAGATGTGTCGCGCAGATGAAGAGGATTCAGAAGATGCAATCAAATCCTGAGCTCTTGTGACTTGAAGACAAAAGAAGAGAAAGGTCAGAACAAAATAACTAGATTTTAGAATTTTTGATCTTGTAACTCAAATTTTTTGTTTTAACAGACCTAAACACAGTGAACACACTAAAATCAAAACCAAGGCTAAACTGTTTTTTCTACTTTCTACTTTTCTTTTTACACTCGTCAGCATATTGACACACTTAAAGGGTTTGTAGCTGGTTTCCTGCGCTTGTCTTCATTTTTTGATAAAATTCTGTTCCTCTATTGTTCTTGTATGATTTGAGATTTGTGCAAAATGCTGTCGGTGCATTGCACAGAAGCATGATGATAACTATTAAAAGGCAGGTTCCTTGGAAAAAAAAAAAAGATGCTTTGTACTTTCTTTTTTTTAACTAGCCAGTTGGCAACTTTAGCAAGGCAGCATTAATTAATCTCGTCAACAAGCTAAAATTAGCAAAACTCGGCATCGATTGTGAAATTATTTGTTCCCAGTCAAAAACACAGCAGATTTCAGAACTGTGCCTTTAAGAATAAAATCAGCTGCTCACAGCCACTGTTGCCTAGCAGCAGTTTACTTCCAACATGGCCGCCAGCAACTGTTAAATAAACCGTATAAGACTGTGCAGTCCTGCAGGTACCACAGTTCCTTTAAAAAACACAAAGTGAGTGTGCTTCAGTTCAGACTATTGCACCATATTTCTTCAATAGTAACAGTTAGTGTGTGAAACACATGGCAAACATTAACTCCAGTCATAAATACACTTTAAATATGAGTAACGCTGACAACCATGTGTCAACATAGCTAGCAATGATTCGCTAGAACCCCATCAGTTTGATGATGGCGCACTAGGACTTTGATGTTGGGGGAAGCTGTCTGTGGTACAGCTGGTAGAACATCCCCGAGTAGACAGCAGGAAGCTCCTCCATGCTGAGGTCGATCTCGCCGAAGCCTCGCTCTAGGCCGTGAAGCAGAAGCCTGGCTACGCGAGAGGTTATGGGCGTGGTGTCGTTTGTCTTGGCCAGCTCGGCGAGGTCCAGCCACTCGCAGCGCAGGCATTCCTGGGTGCAGAAGTTGATGTCGTAGGTGAGCGGGCTGAGTCGGCAGATGATGTACATGTCCGACATGCCGAAGGCGCCGGGGTGGTTGTGCTGCTGCCGGATGCTGAGCAGAGATCTGAACTCGGAGCGAACGCCGGTTTCCTCGAAGACTTCACGTACGGCGGTGACACCTGAGAAAGATTGATTCAAATGTGTGTATATCTATATACATGTACACAGTATATATGGAGGCATTCAAAAGATCCTGACAGGAAGGAATATATTCATGTTCCCTTGTCAGAATCACGTTGCAGACTGATGTTTAGATGTCGGGGGAAGAGAAAATACATATATTTTTTGTAAAGATGAACATTTGACGCTGCTTTTTGGGTGGGGTCACGTATATAATATTAAAGCTGCTTTTAAAATGTTAAAGAAGGTGAATAGGGAGAAACTCTTTGCATATATATCATGTGCCTTATTTTGTAAAGTTCAAATGAATGTAAATGTATCAATCTTTAATCATAATATCAAAACTGAAAGGATTTAGCTATAGACGTACTGTATTAGTTTGTTGCTCTGTTGAGCGTGACACTCACCGATATTTTCTCCTGGATCAGACAGACCACCGGGGAACTTCCAGGCATTCTTTGTCTGAGATTCAAGAGCAAAGTTCAACATTAACATCAGTGTAGTGATAGATGGCACTGCTGTAAATGTTTCTTCGAGTAATATCAACATGAACAGGTCACTCGTTTCTTTAAAGCAGTGGTGATATCTTAAAGTATTGGCGTAGTGTTTCAGTAGTCAGTAGATCATGTGTACAAAGGGACTGTCTTACGTATCTGAACTAATAATTATACACACGGAGATGTTCAATGCTCTGATCTGAGCATCCTTTCATTTTATGTTTTATATTTAGTGCCTCACTCTGGAGACTTTTGATGCGGTGAAGTGTGTGTCTTCCAAAAACTGTTTCACCACTTATCCTTGATATTTAATAACAGTATGCTGCTGGTTAAATTATGAAGTCAGTGTTGTGTATATATATTTTTGTAGTTACTAAACGAATTTTGTATGCTATACGCTCCGTTTTCAGAAATGCTATTTCATCTAAGATTTTCCTAATTTTAGCAAATCCTCTCTTTGTGGGGGAAACACAAATGCACTACAGCATTTATTTTCATGTATTGTCGACAGAATGCTATATTTTTCGAAGCTGTATCTAAAATGTGCTGGTAGAAAGGAAGAAATAAAGAGATTTTGTGTAACTCTAATCAGTCTGATCGGTGTGGTTTTTCAGAGTAAAAGCTCTCATTCCCACAGGAACTTTAAGAGCTGAATGTGAAAATAATAATCCTCGAGACTCGGTGGAAGCATGCCTGCCATACGCAAACTGTTCACACCAAATCTACCGGGAAATGGTGCGTAAATGTCATCAGACAATGATTAAATTAAACACTCGCCCATGACATCATTCATCTCTTCGATGGATGAAATTACCTTCAGGCCACCAGGGATCTGTTTAGCTGTCTTTTGTACTGATTTGAGAGCGATAATGTCCTGGTTTCCTTTCAGGAAGTTCGTAACCCTTCGTGAGCTCTGAACTGGCTTGGTCTGCCAGAGACGCTCGACTGCCAAGGGCCAGGCTGTTATAAAGCCCATTTCCAGTAAACAGCTCGATGGGGAGGAGGAGGAGGAGGAGGAGGAGGAGGAGGAGGATAGCAAGAGATAAAACACTCTCCACACTCCCAGACCTCTAACTGCTTCCCTCTGCTTCTGGACAAAAGCCATCGACATACATTATACGCTCTCCAGATTCCTAAGTGGGACACGTGTTACATGTTGTTTAAAATGAAAGTCCAGCAAAGAGGTCCACTTCAATTCTGTCAATTATACTGTGAACTACATTTGCCTTATGATCCACATTGTACAGTAACCATGTGTCGCTACTCAGTCTATTTCCACTGGACCTGCTAAGAGAAAAAATGAGAGTGAAAACTATGAAACCAACTAATTTGAAGCCACAGAAGGACTTAAATTGTACAATATTTCAATCATTTAACTCTATTATGAATATGTTTTTCGGGGGTAAATACTACTTTTAAAGAGTGGAACATTTAACAGTATCTGCAGATAGTTTTAGTTTTAGTTTTTGTTTGTGAAAGTTTTGAAATGTCCAAACAGGACTGTAATAGTTTCTGTTGTTATTGAGGCAGAGATGATTTCTTCTCTTTTCAGCAGATATTTGAACTGTGAAATGTTTTTCTCCTCTGGAAGTTTCAGCCTTTCACCTCTTAATGGTTCTTTGACAATGAATGATGGCACGTGTTAAAAAAAAAAATTAGGAAACAGACTCTTTGGTACTTGACTGTTTTCATTATCTATTAAGCTTAAGCATGTTTTGGTGATTGTTTAATTTATAAAAATCTGTAAAGTAACTGTTTTGTTCAATTAACAGATATTCAGTTTACTATGGGGCAGATTAAACGTTAAACTTTTTATACAGTCTTTCACAATGTTGTTGTTTAGAGCCGATAATCCAGTTCGGCCAGTTCGACTATTTTGTTGGCAACTTCTGCAGTGCTGTGGTGGTGGTGTTGTGTAAATGGGAACATTGTCTAAAATAATACTGAAGCATCGGATGTGAAAGGGCTTTTACTCACTGCCTCATTTATATCAAGTTGAGTTAGGTGGTATTTCTAAAAACATAATTACTTCCCAAATTGCTGCCCCATTGTGCAATCACTTTTTGCAAATTGGTCGCAATCTCATTTTGGCCAACTGAGGATACAAACAAATCCGAGTGGAAAGGTTTCTAAAAGAGGCCTGTTGTAAGTGAACCTAATAACAACTCGAGCACTACAGCGAGGCTCTGTGAGGGTCCACAGAAACAGACACTCACAAAGTTGTTTGAGTGCATTCAGCTCGTGTAAACACCGTGTTTGCTTGAGGTCAGCTAATGTTGTGTGGGGCTAGGCTAAATGTGAGAGGGAGCTGAAGGGCTGAGAGGATTTCTACCCACGTTTGGAACAACAGAGGCAACATACAACTCCCTAAACAAACAAAACTAATTTGACATTTTTAGCAGCAGCGGCAGCATCATGACTGACGGTTCATTTTGAGGATGGAGGGAGCAGCTCTATGGTTCACCCAACAGGAGATGGTGGATACCTGCCAGAAATATAATTTTACCTGCCAAAATATGTCAGTATTTACATTTTTTAGAAACACGTTGCTCTCCCTTATTAACTCCAGCTAGTATTATATAGTAATTTTTCTAATGCTGAATTCCTTATTGAATTTTCATTCATCCTATTATGAAATTTCGTACGGTTCTCTGAGGTCAAGCATTGTTACAGCCAACACAATGCATGGATGAAGTAAAGAAAAGATGAATGTCTTGTAATTGCCATGATAGATATTGAAATAATATGTTATATAAGGTATAAATAGTCCATTATCTTTAATGAATGTAACGGTATGACAGTGTGTGACACATATACCTTGTTTCGGTCTTGGACAACAAGAACTTTTCCATTGGACTCGTCAACGACTGCACCTAGAGCAAGGAAAAAAAGAAAAGAAAAGTCAGTCACTTTAAATATTATGCAAGCACTTTCCCCCAGTATACACAGTAATCTGATCCACATTCTGCACTGAAGGAGTTACTGTGAGAACAATTTCAATGGAGACCTATTGGCAGCGTAGCTCAGAGTTAATCATTACGTTGGACACGACATAAAACTTGCACAGTGTCAAGGAAAAAGCCTGGACTTGAGTCTCTGCCGGGCCTCAGACAACACAACACAACACAACACAACACAACAGCTGCCTGCTCCGTTTTATATTTTGTCACTGATGTTGAAGATGACTCAAGTCTGCAGACAAACCTGACAACTAAGAAGATGGGAATTTTCACTTTATTCCACCTCTTGAACTGTTAAAAGTGGCTTTACACGAGAGTGACGGCCAAAAATACCAAAAATAAAACTGCAATAAAGTGCCACTTCAGATTTATCCGAAGTGCCTGGAGTTCATTACAGCTTTAGTGGCCTCTGGGGACTTCAGACCTCAGTGTGTTTCATACAAACTTGTTTCTGCTGTCATAAAGAAAGGAGCGAGTCAAGGATGGGGGATGATATGCTAATGGGAATATCGGTGCCCACTGTCAGACAGTCTCTCCCTGAAGCTGTTAATAGTTTAGGCAATAGGAGAAGAAACAGAGGTCGAGCACACCTCTGCACACCTTGGTGTTGGATTGTCTGTTTCAGAAGGTTTCCAGTTCTGCTGTTTGACGATCTGACGGGCACTTTGTTTGAGGCATTCTGAGGACTTCACCTTAAACCGGTGACACCTGATTTTTCTGGCCACTTGGGGGCAGCAAAAACAAGCTGGAAACACAACAACTGGCATCACTTTAAAAAGCCGATATGGCAAATCTGCCTATTTACACATCGTGCATGCACAGAGTTCATCGGTGTTCATCTGGAGTCGTGCTCAACCACCCAATGAATGCAAGTCCAATATTCACTCTCCTTCAGGTTCTGTTTTGTTCACCATCAACTCAAGAGGAAAAATTTTTTGGCTCTTTAGCTGCTAACGGCTCCGCATATGTTCACTTGCTAAACGCTAACTTTGACCGCCTGCTGGTTGGTGCTGAAAAAGATGGCTTCCGGTCGCTTCATCAGAACTTTTTCCACTGAAAGTGAAAGTGAAACGACGCTGGTGAAGATGGACGAGGGAGAACCAGAACAGTAAAGTTGTTGGCCGGACTATTAAAACTCCTTAGATCTGACAGAGGCTGCAGGTTTGTGTGATAATTCTCTGTGGGTTTGAGAAACACCTTTCATCCACAAGTAGCCATGTGATCCATGGATAGTAAAAAAATGTTGATTATAGGCGCTTTAACGTCAGCACTAAATATAGAATAAATATAGACAAACTTGTGTGGACTAGTGTGGACTGGTTCCTGAAATGGACCATTGTGATGCATCAACTGAGTTACCAAAGCAAAGTGCGTCAACGTCTCAAAATAGGGGGTTAAAATAAAAAAGGATATGGGTAAAGACAAAATTCTTTACTTTCTTGAGTCTAAACAGAGTCCGAGTGACTCAGCTGTGCTTGTGAATGATGTCGACATCCCACTCCACCATTTAACATTTTTCTCTCCTGTTTGAGCGGTTTTTCTTTTCAGCAGGTAGTGACTAAGAGAGGCAGCTATGTGCTGCTGTTGACAGCTCAGCAGGAGGATGAAGAGGAGGGAAAACGGGCCACTTTCTTTTCCGGTGGCTCCGTCTGACCGAGCGAGACGGGCCTCCTTAAATGAATGTCACAGATGTGTAAAGAGGGATGGGTCGTCTTAAAGGCCTGACTTGGACTTCCAAGTGGAAATTGATGTCATCCCCGATCCCCGTGCCATATGGCGCTTCATCGGAGGAGGCCTGGTTGCTGCTAAGGGAGGCTATCATTATGTAGCTTTAAGTCCAGGAAACAAAATGCTCAACAGGAGCAGGGGGTGTGGGGGGGGGGTTAGGAATTATAAGACAAAAAGCTCAGGAACAATCAAAGAAACAACAAAGAGAGGAATAATAAATAAAACCTTTTAATTGCTTGAGGTGACAGTCGACTTCTTGGCCACAAGAAAAGCTATTAAAGTATTAAATTGACCAGTATCGTGAGGTCCAGGACACTGATTTTACTTCTTAGTTTGCCAGGAAAAATCATTGATCGCTGTTAATGCACAAGATTAAGCTGCTGAATTCGTTTTGACACACACATGTACTGTAAGGTGGGGAGACGGAACTGAGAAGACTGAACACCGTCCAAAGCACAATTATTAGAGGTTTCATGAGTCACTATGTGATGCATTGAGCTAATACACACTCCTGTGATTCACAATAATGATGCTGATGGGTGTGTGTATCAGCCAAAATGTATTTCCTTTACTTTATTTCTTGTCATGGCTCTGTGAAGTGCAGCTTATTCAGCCTGTGGTTGGGTGGACACGGGACATTTAATTTGATATTACTCAGCCAGTCTGACCTGCTGCAAAATACCCTGTTTAAAAAGAAAACATGTATAAATTAATGGGACTAATGATAAAAAATAATGGATGAAGAACAGTCTTTGTGACCACCACATTACCTTGTTACTTATATTACTGCCACCCCCCCTCATGCTGTATTCTCAGATACTTCTTACCTACTGTGAATGAAAAGAAAACTCTGGCATTTGACCAATTAGTGGTGATGCACCGACACAAGATCATTTTGACCTCCACATAAATGCTTCTGATGTTTGGGTTCAGATTAGACACTTTAAAAGCCTCATGAGCTCATAATGCTCTACAATGATGTTATTGAATATCATAGCAAGTTCAGTTATTGGTGTTTTGAACCAAAACTATAACAATAAGTGATTAAACTCAGACCGTTTAACTGCTGTTTTAAAACCGGATATATTACTGTCCGTGTATTAATGTCTTATTTGTTTTCCTCTTATTGCACACGCATCACATACTCACATTTTCTGCTATTATTTTGATATCATTATACATATATATTATTGCTGTTTATTTTATCATATATATTTTGAATGTTAGTTTCTCATTATTTTTATGTAGCCACGTTATTTTGTATTTTTATGATTTTATGATATTTCTACTTACTTCTGTGGAGGCTTTAAATAGGCCCATTGGGCTTTTTGCCATCGTCCTGCACTGTACGCTATTTGTTTTCCTTTGTCATTTTCTTTGTATTTTAAATTGAGCAAAATAAATTAAACTACTAACTGTGCTGTAGTGAAAGTTGAAACTATATCTAGGATCTCGTATATTTCAAAGCCAATTTACAGGACGAATGCTTTACAATCAATGCAAAGTTGCACCTTTTAGGCCTGACTGTGGGTGATGTTCCCATCTTTGTCAAAATGATGAAGAACCACAGACAGCAAGCACACAAAGAAAAACAAGTATCTAAACAGCTGCGTATTTCAGATTCTTCATCTTGGTTTCATCATTGTTTCCCCCGTTGAGGGGGGACATAACTCTGGCAACAAAGAGGGAAATTCTGGTCCCCATTCCTCCCTGAAGGATGCTCTGGACATGTTCTGACATGCTTCAAGTGCATCCACTCTTTGGTAAAGGTATAAACAGCATTCTGCCCTCTGCTGGACAGTCGGGAACATAGCACAGGAGGGAAGCAGCAGTAGCAGCAGCAGCAGCAGCAGCAGCAGCAGCAGCAGCAGCTCCTCCTTTTGTTGCCTCTCACTCCAGATTCACAATCCTGATGAGTGAATTTCCATTTACGCAAGTGAAATGGGCCAGAACGTTACAGCCCAACGGACAAACAACCTCTTACAGAAAAACAAACCTGTGGTGTTTTTTTGTACTGAATTAATGCAGGTCAAAGTTTAATATGGTTTTACTTTTATTTTTATCAAAAAGAGGTAAAGGAATGGAGTTTGTCTTTAAAAAAACAAAAAAAAACAAATCACACCTCTGTGTCTTTTAAACCCCTAAAGCTTCTGTTACATGTACATCAGTCTCAGTAGTGATGCAGCTCCAAACATTAAAAAAACATGTGTAACTGCAGTCAGTCCCTCTCTGGTGCAGTCTGATGCCAGCTTTCATTCCCCTGCCGGGATGAAGTTAACTTTGCTTCTATATCAGTAGCGAGTTTGTGTTTGTGGGTCTTGGGAGCTTGCGGTCAGCTCGATCAATCGGAGGGTAAAGTCAGACCAGATGGGACTCTGCCGGTCGCAGCCTGAGGGCTCCACAGTGAAGGGTGGGCTGGATAAATGCCTCCAGTCAGCAGCCAGAATCAGTGAGCATATACATTAGACTCATGACCTCAGGTAATATGATCTGACACTCAACATTATTAAATAAGACAGCAAAGTACAGTATATGCTGTAGATACTTATAGATGTTACTGTATATTCATGTGACAGTGACCTGAGAGGTTTTTCAGGTCTGCAGTGAACCGTTATTTTAATTATTGATTCATGTGACGATTATTTTCTAAATTCCCAGAGCCCACAATGATGTCTTCAGTCCAAACCCCAGTTTACAATAATATAAAGCAGAACAAAACAGCAAATCCTCACGTTGGAGACACTGACACCAGTTTATAGCTAATGACTAACTGATAAATTTTCAAAATAGTTGCCAAAAAATTGTCCTCATTGTCTATTGAACAACAGATTAATCTACTAATTGTTTCAGCTCTATTGTTTTTGATGACTGACTGTTAAATGTTCCGTTTAATTTTATTGTACATCATATTTTTGATTTTGATGAAATTGTACTGTGTTTTCTCAGACAGTGATATTTCCTTCATAGGCACAGATTCTTCCCTCTGCCATGGAGGTTATATTTTCACCTGTGTTTGTTTGTATGTTGGTTAGCTTGTTTGTTTGTCAGGGGGCGTGGGCCAGGGAAGAACCCATTATATTTTCTTATCACCTCCCTAATCATTGCGAGACGCTTTTGTGAATTTCTCAGGAAATAATGTTTGTATCTTGTTGTAAATAATCAGACACATTTATGATGTTGAGATCTATGACTTTGTCCAATTTGCTGCAGATCCAGATAATAATCGGGGCCTGACAGACATTTGTAGGATTGTTTGACCTTGGTGGAGATATTTCTTCTACTGAGTGCCACTGAAGTTTAAAATATTATGGAAGATTCGTGGTTTATACTGTATCTTTTTTTTTAATATGGAGGACACAGATAATAAGCAGTAATCAACAGTTATAACATGAGTGCTGACAAAGCCAGTAAACGTCAAAATGGTTGTTGCGTAATACGACAAAGTTTGAATTGAAATAATATCAGTAATATATAATAATATCAGTTAAGTTTATGTGAAGCACATATAACACCATCCTCACTTGTTCGTTTGACAAAATAATCTTAACTGAAGGTTCATTTACTAGCTTTTCTCTGGAGCTTTTAACTGTATTTCGCAGTCTTCATCAGCTCTGTGACAACTTCACAAACTCTATCTGCTGATAAAGACGATGTGTGTGATGTGGTTGAAAGGTATTAAGCTAAGATTATTTTGTCAAACTATTTCCAAAGTCAAGGCTGAACTTTGAGGCTGTAATATCTGTACCTGCCACTCCAACTTGGTGAGTTGCAAACCCCGGCAGTCTGCTTTCCCCTTCCCCCAGCCAGAGCGACAGGACGGCGTGGTCGTGTGTGGCGTGGTGGAAGGTGAAGCCGTGAGTAGAAGCTGCGGCAGCACATCGACTCAGTGAGATGGGTACTCGAAGCCACACGGCCACCTTCCCCTCAGCTTTCCACTGCACCAAAGACTCTGTGGAGTGCACAAGTCAGATGTTCAAAAATTGTGTTTTTCATGATGCAGTTGATTTTGTTTAACAGCAAACTGCAGAAACAGACAAGAAATATGTGGAGGATATGACATTATGAAAAGCGACAGATACTTTTAAAAGCACATTTCCGCTTATCTGGATTGGACAAGAGATAGGAGATTTAAAATAATAAGAGAGAATGACAAACAGCAGGCACAGTTTGGAGGAAGTAGCCTCGATGTGAGAGAAGCAGATTTTCCAAACAGAAGGTTGATACTGTGAATCCTGGAGAAATTGGAAGAATTAAGGTAGAAAAAAAAAAAAATCACAAGCGCTTTAATTGTTCATTAAATGTTGTCATTTTGATTTTGGGCAAGATACTGAGTGCTGAATTTCTCCTAGAGAGTTGGTGTGTGGACTAAATGGAGAAGACGGTTTCTGAAAACAACCACCATAAGTCAAATAATTAGGTTTGTTTTTAAAAACAAGTAGTTAATTGATGATGACAAATGTTTCAAATGTCATTTTAGCTGACGGCTTCTTCATGCATCCATAGGTTACTTAGTTGCTGCAAATATTAAGACCATTAGCAACTAAACATTAACTTACAAACAAAACAAGACCCTGAAACCTGCTTTAGATATGGAAAGCAGTTTTAGATATTTAACCTACCACTCATTTAATTACCACAGACCCCAAATTAAATGGGATCTAAAACAATGCATGCCATACTCCCATATTTATTCTATGAGTCTTATATACACACATCATGAATCACTGTCCTGCTTTGTGGTCAGTGACTGAGGTAGGACGTGTGCACACACACACACAGACACACACACACAGCAGACTTTAATACAACAAACCTTGCAGTAATGTGCTAAATAAACATTCGCTGATGTCAGCCGGTAAACCGATGTCAGCCAGGTTCACTGTGACTCCACCGAATCGATCCACCTTCCCAGCCAGAGGACCGCCGGTCCCCTCCACGCTGTGTAACTGGGAACGACTTGCTGTGCACGAAAACGCACGGACAGGTATGCGTGCGGGACAAGACGTCCTGCCGCGGAGCCTTCCTCTCACCAGCGGTATAAGTTTGTAAACAAAGCCACTGGCAGCCATGTTAAAAAAAAAGAAGATAATTTAAAAAAACCGTTTCAAAGGTTGAGTTTGTTCAGTTTCCAACCGGCATATGCGTACAGCGTAGAACGGTTACGTAAAAGTCCGCCCTGGAAGTTGCATAAATACCGTAATGACCTGGTAACATAGCTCATGGAGGACTAGCTAGCCACAAGCAGCAGGGACAGACAAGCGGATGTGACGAACTCCATTCGCACATCTGACAATTTTAACTAATCATTACTACCTCGGTAACATACCAGGCTAACGTTAGTCCTAAAAGACTCACCGAGGTCTGATGTTAAATTCGGCCGACAAATTTACAAATTAACCCTTTTAACCAGGTACAAATAACGTGTACAATAGATTTAACACTGTTGGCTGTGGCTTTGGCGGGTTTTCTTCAATATGTCATCTGGCGCGAAGAAAAGCTAACAAGTAATCCAAATAAGCCGTTGAAAACCATGAAAAAAGCGATGCGTGGCATATTAGCTATATGCCGAATTTAAGACTGTGTATTAATGATGTTTTCCGTAACTTTAATCTTATTAAATTGTGTCTTTCTACGAGCCTGTAACAAAGAAAACCTAAAATTAGATGATTTTTTCAATGGGGTTTTGCTTTTTTTCTCGAGGCCATTTTAGTTTAGTTTTCGATGCAAACACATTTTCTTAATTGTTAGAAATCGAATCTCTTAGACAAACTACAATAGGAAAATGGAATCGATACAGAATAGTCACCTGAAGTAATTTTCAGACAGAGATTCCGGGGTTTACGGTAAAGGGGGCGGGACCAAACAAACAACCAGGAAGTTGCTCCGTGTTTACACATGTTTGCAGTTTCACGTGGAGAATATTTTCACATTTAAAATGTCTTCAAAGAAAAATAAAAGCAAATCGAAAAAAGCGAGTGAAGGAGATGGCTCGGTAGTACTGAAGGAGGGCTCAAATGACTCCTCCAGCCTGCAAACATCTGGACACGACGGAGGGAACAGCAAAAGTTCAAACAGCAACTCATTCACTGTTACTGATTTCATAGAGAAAGGTAAGACTGACGCACCAATCAGCTGTATCACATAGATGTGCTTGTATACGGAAGCTCTGTCCTTGTGATTCTGTTGGATGCTCTGCTGCTGTTTTATCTCTTGGACTCCAGCAGATTGGACTGAACATGAAACACTGAGGCTAAAAGTGGCTTTCAGCTTTTGAGGATGTTCACCCACACAGTGTGACAGACAAATAAAAATGATATCTTCCAGAGTGACAGTCCTTTTAGTGATTCTTTATTTAGTAAAAGAACCAATACCACCATGCAGAAATACTCCAGCTCTGCTTCGAGCAGCTGCAACAGTAAAATGCTGCTTACACCACACAGATACATCACTGTGAAAATAATAATAATGATGTCATCTTTTACTGCAGTACGGATACTTTAGATATGTATGCTAATCTGATACCACTGCTATTCCAGTGGTTCCCAACCTAGGTTTCGAAAAAGGGTCAACAGATTAAAAAAGATTGTGAGTTGATTTAATAGGAGAAGCAGGAGGAAAACACAAAGTCCAGGTGCACAAATCTCTTTTCAGTTGTTGGACTTTTTTCTCTAATCATTGAATTATTGATTAATTTTACCTCTCAGGGCGTCAAATACTTATTTAAATGAAACTATCTGATACGTTTAGAGGGGAAATGTCTCTTTGGTGCAACTGCTGACTACTCATAGATAAATAAAATGTGACAAGGGGCCTTTACTGGACACAGATTTGTATATAAGCTGATAAAACTCAGAAGGTTTGGTAACCACAGGTTTAATATTCAACAATTTGTTGTATTTTAACTACAACTCGTATCTCTAACTCAAATAAAGTAAATGAATACATAAATAAAATAAATAAAGTACCTCAAAATACTTGGAATTGGAAGGTATCTGCTTGATTTGGCTAATTCAGACCGCTGAAGTATTGAATTAGCTTCATCTGAACATTAAAATGTGGATGAACTGGATTTTGCCCCCATCTCTTACATTGAAAGCACATTAGGAAGCGACCTCCTGACGGCCAGTATGAAAACAAAAAATCCTGTTTCAGTGTTCATATGACTGATTGGTTGCTTAGCCTGAATGTGGGACTTACTGGAGTCATTTTTTTATTTTTATTTTACCTCCTTTACTTCTGTGAAGGAATTAAATTATTTTGTTGATTTTATTCACAGCTGATGACAAAACACCCAAAACCTGCAGATCAACTTTAGCCCAACTGAGCCTCAATTCAATGAAGTCAGCCAGTGTGTGCATCGGGAGACCGGTCCTACTGACGAGTCCCACAGGAGAACAAGAGGTGCCCTCCCCCCTCTCCTCTCTTCATCTCCCCTCTCTGGATGTCTCACATTTTATTAACAGTTGTATTGTTATTTTAAAGCTGCAGTGACTAACGTTAAATGAGTAATGTTTTGTTTTGTGTTATAAATCTTTAGTTCATGGGTGGTTTCTCTTCTCAGGATGTCACCTTCCTGACCTTTAGCCGCCTGTAAATAAGTTTCAGCTCTGAAGCTTTTTGATAATCATTTATCACCTGTCTTACAGGTGTGTTTGGGATGGCCCGTCGCCCCCTTTCCAGGTGGAAAAGTTGGTCTTCAGAAACATGTCCAGACAAACCTGAGAGTGAAGTTGGGGGACGAGGTGACGCTGCAACCGATAACGGGTCCTGTGCTTCAGGCTGACGAGGTGGTTTTATGCAACAGGTAAGGATCATCAGGTTCTCGCGCTCCATATTTTACATAATAGATAACATTACGTTATTTTTTTTTACAGTTTGAATCATGTTTTACTTATCTTCTTGTTATTCCTAGATACCAAATTATTCAATCTTTACAAGAAACTTTTCTGGTTGCAACAACATATCACTTTATCTTCTTATATCACAAAACCTTTTTGTAACTTCACAAAACCAGCGTATTTTGTTAAAGGTAATTTTTCTTGTAATAATATGGTATAAGTCAAGTTGATATGTTGTTATAACAAGAAACTAGTGGGCATTAAAAAATAATTTTATATCCCTTATGAAAAACCTTAAGACACAGACAGGCTCAGAGGTCTTTGGCTTACTTTTTGTTTTGTATTTCAAGGCAATGCTGCCACCTGCTGGCTGTATGTGGCAGCTACAGGTCAAATGTCAGTAGTCAGTTAGTATTCTTTATATTCTATTCATGCATTTAATACATCTCTTAATCGACAGTGCATCTGTCTTATATCACATGTTGGGGTACATTTATTAGACACAGATATTACATAAGTCATCATAAGTCCATATTATATTTCTGTAACCTACGTGTTATGTTCTGTGTGGTGCTGCTATTTGAACCAGGACACTCCTGTAAAAGAGATTATGCTAAATGTGTGTAGTTTATTCTCACATATAACCTTTGTTCAGGTCAAAAGACGACACTCTAGAGACAGATGAGTTCAAGAACTTCCTCTTGAGATCATTAGGTAAGTCAGTTTTCATGTGTTAGGCCTGAACACTCACTCTACTGTGCAAAAAAGAGAAGAATACTGTGAAATTTTGTTTTATTGTCTTGCCTTTACTGCTGGAATAACGCTCGTGGTTTGTTCCTCTCGTGCCAGTTGGGAACATCGTTCTGCCAGGAAATGTCCTGTTCCTGACCTACTTTGGCCGCTCATGCAGTCTCCGAGTCGAAACCATAAGAGGGGAGGATGGTGTCACCCTCCAGAGACCAGCTCCTCCCCCAGGACTTGGTCCTGACACTGAGGAGTCCTCTGTGATGAACTCTGTGCTGGACTCCACGTCAGCCGACCTCTCCCTGCAGCTCAGCATGCTCACAGTGGATGACAGCAGTGCTGACGGGACACCAGGCACGCCCGGAGAGCCTGGTCCTGCAGCCAGCACCCCACGCCGACCGATCCAGCTCCTTTCCCTCTCCTCACTCCCCTCTCCCTGCAGTCCCTCCTACAACTCCCAGAATCCTCCTGCAGGGTCAGAGCAGGATGCTGTCAGTCTGGAGAGCCCACTCAAATCAGAGCAGACAGAGAAAATCCCCACAGCTCCACCTGGTGGTGCTTTGAGTACTGACACCTTCTACTGCCTCTCCTGCTCCACTAAAGTCAGTTTCAGAGAGAGAGCAGGGCCGCAGGATCCAGATGCGGAAGCTAAAAGGTCAAAGGTCACATACAGCATGATTGGTGGGCTCAGCAGCCAGCTGGATGTCATCAGAGAGACCATTGAGCTTCCTCTGAAACACCCAGAGCTGTTCCGCAACTACGGTAGGTCAGGTAGCTCAATGTCATTTCACATCAGACATTAAAACAGAACCATAATGTAAGGAGATAATCTAGCACTGCATTTAACAAAGATCTAATCGTGAGGTGTTTTCAATGCAGGGATCCCACCTCCCCGAGGAGTTCTCCTGTATGGTCCCCCGGGCACAGGGAAGACTATGATTGGACGAGCCATAGCCAACGAAGTCGGAGCTCACATGACGGTGATCAACGGCCCAGAGATCATGAGCAAGTACGATCACACCGTGTGGCTCAAAAACTTTTTCTGCCCCAGTATGTCAGTGCTTAGTAACATGCACAGAATTAACAGAGTCAGTTCATTCACTTAAAGATATATATATGTATATATATATATGTGTGTGTATTATTATATTGCTTTATGTTTTTTGCAGATTCTACGGTGAAACGGAATCGAGGCTGAGACAGATATTTACTGAAGCTTCTCAGAGGTAAAGTTTGTCGTTCATCCAGCTGACCATGCCCATAAATGACCATCATCGTCACTATACTGATACCACTCACACTTTACAGTCCTCTCTGACTGAATGAATCCAAACATCAAGCACGTTTAATAGAACAGAGCTAGTGAAATTGGATTTATCATCTAAAGTCTTAAAATGTGGAGTTGAGAATTCGTCAGCATCACCTTTATGATTTTGGTTGTTCCCGTCTTGTTGGTCTTTTTGGCCGCTTTATAAAGACTGTTCAGAGTGTTGGTGTTTAACATGTCTTACATCCTTTTTCTTGGTTTGATAGGCGACCTGCGATAATCTTTATTGATGAGCTGGATGCTTTGTGCCCAAAGAGAGAGGGAGCGCAGAATGAGGTGGAGAAACGAGTCGTTGCTTCTCTCCTGACTCTGATGGACGGGATCGGTTCAGTAAGTCCCGCACCCCTTACCTAATACATTCAGTGCTGACTCTTAGGTTAAAATAATGGCAGCTCTTTTTTTATTCTATAACCTTTTCTTTGCACATGCACTACATCAATGTATTTCTCTGTGGACTGAGCGCTTTGATGCTTTCACAGTATTAATATAGAAGCTAGACCTGCTTTATAACTAACAAAGACTTTAACTAGTACGAGACCTTTAAGTGTAATTGTTCTTTTTGTACACTTTTGTATAGTTATGGTCACAGACTCTCTCTCCACCTCCCTACACTTGTAATTGAGTCAAATTCATTTCCCCAAAAAGAGACAAAAGAAAGTTAAAGATGAATTTAACTGATAATATTGTTATTACTATCAT